GATTTTTGTATATATATCCCAAACTAATAAACTTTTCTATATTTGCTGAGATGCTTTTAATTTCAACACCTTTTTCCTTCAATAGTTTGCTTGATTCCTCATCACTAATTATATGATGTGAGTCATAGCCTTTAAGATTGTGGAAAAACACTGGTATAAATTTATTTTTCTGTTTCAACAAGTTACAAGAGTTACATAGAGGTCCTCTGTATAATCCAGTCCAATGATCATGATCTTTAACTTTATCCCCATCAAACACATTCTCACACTGAGGACATGAATTACAGCTGTCATATTCTTTCCACTCTTCATTGGTTAAATTTTTCATTTCCATATCAGGCATACTCAATAATCGCTCACACACATCTAAGATATACTCATTGAATTTTGTAATAGTATTATATCCAACATAGCTCTTCATTTCGTAAATACTCTGAGTGAAAGAATCCACAACAATTACACAGAAAGCAGAGGCCTTATGCTTACCAACATTCTCACTCCAAGATTTGTTACGAGAATTGTTAACAGAATCAATTTTATAGATAACAGATTCAAAATCTGCATAGCAGACATATCTATGTTTTTGTGTTTCCTGAACTCCTTCAATTTAATATAGTCTTTAGGGGATTTAATCATTTGTATAGGATTATTACTCATACAGTCAGCTAAATGATTTTCAAACTTCTCTGCATTGTAAAAGTTATTATGACATCTAATACAAAATTTATTGCTTCTACTATTTTGGGTGTTCATCAATCTATTTATATTTTTAATCAAACAGTAATGACCTTCTCCAGAACAATCAGTGACAAGCAAAAGGTTTATCACTCTACTTAAATCTACGTTGATGTTTTTAGATACTTTATATGACTCAATTATTGCTGGCCCTGAGACATCATGAGTTACAATATTAACAGCCAAGTTATTTCTCTTCTCAAACTTATCTACATCTTTAACTTGGAAAGGAAATTCGAAACCTTCGAAATTAATTTTAGAAATGTGATCCTTATATTTACTTACTCGTTCAGGATTTTGATCCACTGGATATAAGTGAGCTAAAATACACCACATAAAACATTTTACATCTTTATTCTGAATATTAACTACGGCTTTCTTATTTTTTAACCAATCTGGTAATTCAATATATTTTGATCCTGATAATGGCTTAATCTTAGTTTGAAACATTCTTAAACCAATAATTCTATTTAGTCTAAAACCAGAACCTTTACCTTGATAATGTTCTAATCTATTTACTAAATCTGATTTTAATTTTTCATAAAAGACTTTTCTATCATCCGCCGGATTCACTATTTCGTTAGCTGTATTTAGATGGACTATATCCTTATTTTCTGTACCTTCTTGTTTCATTTCGCATTGTAATGAGACATATATTTTCACACTTTCATCAAAAATGTCTTTCACAATATCAGGCCCTTTCTTATCTAAAAAGGATTCTATAGTTTTAGAATCTCCAATGTGAAAAGTATCTCTTAACGTATCACCAACTTCTTTGTAATCACTAAAGACAGTTTTATCGAAAGGAAATAGATTCCTCATTTGGAAACTAGATTGCTTGTTAGCTTCATCTTTATCATAGTTCTCAAGTATTTTACGCATTTCAGACACGCCCTTCTTTCTAACATCAACACTGCTCATTCCTGTTCTGTTTCCTACGGGTTTTCGTAGTTGATCCCTATTCAATTTTTCGTAATCAACTAGTTCCATTTATAGAGCAAGAAAAGTATCATTTAAAACCTATAATTAATTTTCAGAAATATTGAATAAATCAACCTAAAATCGATGATATTTCCCGTAATAAATGCATTCTGTAGTTGAGATAAATGACCCAAAACGACGTAATGAAATAGTAAACAACTTTTTGAAAAATCGGAAAGAGCATAAAATCAAGAATTTACAAGAGCGATCAGACTTAGAACATGTAGAAGATTATAGAATTGAAGTATTTAAACCTATTTTAGAATCCAACAAAAAACTTCAAGAAGAAATTATAGATGAAAAGAATAAAATAGTAGAAACTCTAAACAACTTTAAATCCCCTTCTCAACTTTCAATAGCCCCTGCAACTACACCAACACCAAAGACAAATCGTAAAAGTCTTATTAAGCAACCCTCAGTAATCCTACCTCCCTCTCTACCTAGTTCTTCTTCACCTCAAGTTGTAAGTAATCTGATTGTAAGTTATCTTCAAGATAATTCAGATAGAAGTAATGCTGGATACTCAATCAAGTTCAACAAAGCAGAAAAGAAGTATGCTATTGGTAACAAAGACATTACATTCGATCAAAATATTATCAAAGTTAATAATGAAGAATACACAGCAACTGAAGGGTTGATGGAGTTACTACTCAAAAAGTCTCCTGATCTAAACAAGGTTACAACTGAAGATTCTTCAAATTACAAAAAAATATTATTATGCTCTAATGCTCTGTACCAAGGTTTTGATAAAAATAGTAAAAGATATAATGCAGATTCTAGTGATAAATGGGCGTTCATAAAGTCTAAATATTTTGTAGCTAAGACCCCAACTACAGCTGGAACATCTTCAACATCAGGAAGTTCTATTTCTTTCATACCATCAAATACCAACTCTCTAATTGACTCATTAAGACTATCTATTGGTTCATATCAGGCTGGTAACAAAGACGAGTATAATAAAATCCATGCAATGTTAGATGAACTAGTCAAACAGAAAGTAATCAAGAAGAAAGACTTAGGGGTTATTTATTTGAATATTGGTATGTAATCATTAGGTCTTGTTATACACTCTATACATTCTTACAAACTCTTACAAACTCTTACAATAGCCTATTTTTTCTCTAGTTAAATGTCACAAAAAATTACACTAGCTAGAATGTACATCAGCGATCAAGACAAAACCCCTCTTAGAATTGATAAAAGAAACTGGGTAAAACAACACAACTTTTCTACTCAAACGTTATATGATGGTTTAAGAGAATTAGCAAAAGAGATGGATATCAGTAAATATGTTGTTATGAAGACAAAAGGTAAATCTATTACTGAAAGTTCAATTGAAGTCAAACCCAAAGAAGTATCAGTTAAAATTAATTCTAACAAGATAAACCTACTTCTTCCACAAAGATAGTTGATTTTGAATTTTGAATTTTTGGATTTTGATTTTCAGTGTAATAAATGGGAAGAATAAACACACTAAGCACTATCAAAACAAATAATGTAAATGGAACTATTACAATTACTGAAGAAGATCTTAGAAATAAAGGTCTAAAACAGGCAGTAGAAATGCTTGGAGGATTAGATTACGTTAATAAAATTGTAGATGGAATAGCAAATTACAAACCATCAAACAACAACAGTCAATCACTCAATGAAGTCATGAAAGATTTAGAAAAAACAGCTAATTTGTTAAGTACTTCTGCACCAAATCAAAAGCATAAATTAATGATTGAATTATTTGCGAGATATCAAGATGCTTTATTAGAATCTAACATAGACAAAAGAGAAGAGATAGATAATTTAAGTAAACAGATAACAGCTCTCAAAAACACAACCAAGTTAAATGACTCAAAATTGAGGCAAGAAGCTGTGGATAAAATAGATAAAGAAATTGAAGAAGATAGAATTAGAAGAACTAATAGAACGATGAGAACTGATCCTTCAAAATTTTTTCGTTGAGAAACTAACCAAAAATCAAATGAATAACTTATTGAGTTGTGAAAGAATACAAAATGATATTATAAAAAAATTAACAACACTAATTGAGAACAATAAAATAGTTAAAACAATCAAAATTAGAAATACATCCAAAGAGGAAACAATGTATACTTGTAGAAAACTTGACGGGAGAAGTTATAATGAATATTATACTGCAAATTGTTTACATTACTATAAAGAAGATTTAATAAAAATACTAGGTAACGAAAAAGTTTTAATTTATTTGAGTGAATTGAGTATTAAAAAGTAGTTAATATCCTTCACATATTTTATCCCTAACATATTGTGGTACAGGCTTACCAAGTTCTATTTTAAAATTATTTAATTTGGTTTCTTCTCTTTTCTTTTCACTTTTTTCTTTAAAATTTATATCACTTTCATGGGTATATTGTCCTCTTTCATTTCTAGGTTTTTCTAGTAGATAATCATACTTATCATTATGCAAAGCATTACCTTTAGAAATAGGTCCAAATATAGAAATCGCATGATTTAAACTTCTTACTGGAACATTGTTCTCTCTACACCATTCTGCTTTACACACAATTTCGGAGCTCTCATAGGCTTCATAGATCCCCCTTTTATATTCTGACATTTATTTTTTGAGAATTTATTTTTTTTAGCCTGACCTGACCTGACCTAATTGACCTGTCCTAACCTAACCTAATTGGCCTAACCTAACCTGACCTAATTGACCTGACCTAACCTAATTGACCTAACCTAACCTGAAAAAAATATATCGAAAATAAAAAAGTGGTCTAACGACATCACGAACTCACCACTGTCTTCATCACTAGTCTCTTTTTTGAGGTGATTTATACCTTTTACTGAAAACGAAAATTGTGAAAAAATAGTCTAAAATTTAGGGGTGAAGCCGGCGCCTCAGGTTTCTTCTTTTTCTTCTTTTTTTAAACCTAGCCCAAAAATAGACAGTCAAAAAATATAAAAATACTTGAGCATCTTTCTAAATTTACACTATCTGCTTCACTAGTCTTATCAATAATCAAAAAAGAATATTTCTCTTTCCAAATCTCAGAAGTCATCTCTAAAAATCTTTCTTTATCTAATTCACTACAATGATCTCTATAAATGTAATCCAAATTCAACTTGTCTTGAGGAAACACTATAAACAAATTTGCATTCTCTCTGATAGTATTCTTAGGCAGTTTAATATAGTTTTGAGAAATGTAAAAACAATCAATGTTATTATGTCTACCTCTAGTGTAGTACTGTTCTATTTTATTTTGTTTCTCCAACATCAAGTCATCAAATATTATTAGAGTCTTTTTATTAGGATCAATAGAACTTGGATCAGGAATATTATCTAAACTATCTGAAGTGTGAATAGTTATTTCTTGTTTATCTTTTTTCTCAACCATAAAATTCTGATTCTTAAAGCATTCTCTAATATCTTTTTTACTCAATCCATTTTCAAAACCATTTATAAGTGCTTGGTAACAGGGCTGAAAAAGTGTAGTTGAAAATATATACAAGCTGTCATAGTCTAAATAATCATCTCCTTCAAATTTATCCAGAAGTAAATTCATTAACAAGTTAGTTTTACCACATCCTGATTTTCCTATGATGCAAGCTCTTATTGAAGAAGGAAGTAATGGATTATTTTTTCGAATGGAGTAATAATTTTTAACAGAATAATCGGCAAAGTCAGATGACATAATTTAATGTGTAATAAATGGTTTATTTATTTCTTAATCTTAGATCTAATGAGAAGTCATTTCAGTTTGATTTTCCTCAAGACTTCAAACCCAAATCTATAGCTGTTGTAAAAGTTGATGGAACTTTGGAGAGTGATAAAAATAAGTTTATATATCTATCTTGTAGTCTTATATGTGATTCATTCATGAATGAAAAGCAGAGTAACATAATTTGTAAGTTTTCTTCAACTCATAGTAAAAGCATAAAATATGAGCCAATAAATTTAATCTATCATAAAACAGTTAACACTTGTAACACTCTAACTTTAAAACTTGTTGATGCAGAAAATAAACTTATTGAATATAATGATTGTGATGTTCATATAGAGCTACACATTATCTAAATTCTTTTAAAACCAGAACCACTTTTAAGAATCTTCAAGAAGTCTTTATTTGTTTTAGATAGGTTTGTCTTTTTATGTGGAGTCTGTTTAGTATCTTTTTGTTTTGTGGTTTGTTTTCGAATTTCTTCAGGAATATTTTCTACAAGTTCTACTTTAGGTTTTTCTTCTAAACCCATAATTAAATAACTAGAAGCATTTCCAGCATTAAAGAATCTCATTTATTTAGTTAAAAATTAATCAACAGTAAGAGATTGAATAGACGGCATTTCTCTTAGTTCTACAGCCTCATACTCCCTTTTCCTTTTTCTATTTTTTCTATCAATAAAAGTTTTTGGAGAAAGTATCATCCAAAATGATCTAGCTATAAATAGGTATACGAACATTGCTGGCAAAGTAACACCAACTCTCCAAATTCTAAGCCACCACTTTCCAAAGAATCCTTCTACATCGTCTAATATTTCATGAGGCATTGTAGAGTCTTGATTACTAGCATGAGCTTCAATTGAAACATCAGACTTTTCTCTCATTTCTTCTATCAGCTCCTCTTCAATATTAGTTTTCATGTCTAGAAGAATGTGCTCATGGAATACTACTTTATCGTCTAAGAACTTTAAATCGTACTCTTTGAAATCTTTCATATTAGTAATGTTAGTTCTATAATCGATCATGGGGTGAAGCTGTGGTTTACTTGATATCACTCCTCCAAAATTATCATTCTTGTAATACCAAATTTTATCTCCTAGACTTTTTATCTTGATTGGTATTTGTCCGAGTGTGAGAGCAATACTTAACTTGTATCCATCAAAATGAGTAACGTCTATAAAGTCAATCTCTTCTTCATCAATTTCTTTACAAAATGTAACTTGTACTATTGGATCCTGAGAATCTATGAATCTCACTTTGATGGCTGAATGATTCAATTGTTTTTGGATGTATCTTCTTGGATTTTCTCTTATAAGACTTTCAAGAACTTCATTTTGCTCGTTAAAAATATCACACATGACTTCGGTTGTATGTCTGAGAAGATTGTTAGATTGGTTTTCTAGATATTGAAATTCACCTGCAGCTTGGAAGTCGGAGTATAATTCTCTTTTTCTTCTTTGTTTTCCAGTTTCAAACAGTTCGTAATTGGATATTCTTTTAATAAATTCTGTGTAACTTGGGAATGCATCACAGCTTTCTCTGATGGTTTTGTATTCATCGTGACTTGGTAAAATAGCACAATCTTCTTTAATACTCAAATATTCTTCATATCCTGGGAATGGTAAAGGTTGCCAACTTTCATCTGTAGATAGGTTTAAGTGTTGTTCTTTTTCATAATTTGCAATGTTGTTTATAAAATCTGTATAAGTTGTAAGTGAATCACATCCTTCTCTGCTATTCTTGAATGCTTCATAACTAGGTAAGTTATGACAGTCTTGTTTGATTTTTAGATATTCGTTGTAATCTGGTAATGGTAATGGTTGAAAGATTTCTCTTTTAGTTCTGTTGGATTTTTTGTCTCCACCTTTCAATTTCTCATCATAAACTGTCCAATCTTCTTCTTTGCGCTGTTTCATGAGTTCTTTCTTTTCTTTTTCTTGCTTCTTTTTCTCAAGTTCTTCTTCCTTCTTCAGCTTTTCTTGTTTCCTCTTTTCAAAATCAGCTTCATTCTGTTTTTGTCTTTCTTGATCACGTCTTCTAGCATCTTCTTGATCCCGTTTTCTGATATCTTCTTCACGTCTCCTACTATCTTCTTGCTCCCGCTTTCTCTGTTGTTCCTCTTGTTCACGTTTTCTTCTGTCGTCCTCCTGTTGTTGTCTTTGACGTTGAATATCTTGTTGAGAATATGATGGGATTGGAATAGGAATTTGTCTTGGAGAATATTGTGATCTTTGTATTCTTTTTACAGCAAATCCTTCATCACTAATCATCAAGTCTATGTTACAATCAGTCATAGTTTTGTTTGTTTGGAAGTTTAATGCAATTTGGTTCTTATTGTTAACCCAAAGTTTGTTATTGTACATCCCATCAAGTATTCCAATAGAGATAAATTGACATTTCTGATCTCTGTTAACATCCCATGTTATAATTTCATTTTTCTTGATCTCACAGAAACCGTCTTGATACTTGCAATTATTCATATCTGCCAGAATATTGGTTGGCTTAGATTGATTGAAATGTGAATAAACCTTAGTTTCAATAACTATACAATTTTCTTTGTGGAATCTTTTGGGAGAGAAGAAGCTTGTGAATCTATTTGGGTAATCAACTTCAATTTTATTATTTGTACTCCATACGTTAGAACTACCTTTTGATAAAGTTCCGTATCCACATTTCTTACTATTAATCATTTCTCTACATTCAGCTAGGGTGATGGGATAGTTGTTCAATTCTTTTTCTACTGTATGTTCATATCCAGAAAAGTCAGTGTACATTGAAACCTCACTGACTAATTTTTTACAGAGTTTAGCATCTGACATGTATTCAATGATGTTTGGTTTGAAAACTTCATATTGAACTGGTTCTGATTTCGAGTTAAGGATTCTATGATAATTACATTTGTGTAGTTTTGGGATTCTAAAATATTGAACTGGTGAGTTGTCTGTACAAATGATGGGCTTACCTAATGTACTTTGATATAAAGTTAAAAAGAAAATCACCACAGATACTATTCTCATTTATTACTTTTGAAAATTAGTAAATGAAATTTCCCTAAATAAATTGAAAATGATTGAAGCTGTTGATAGGATATTAGTAGTTGATACCCCTATTGTGAGTGACACCTCTATACAAAAAGAGAATCTTATAAGCATATTTCCTTCCTCTGGATCTAGTTTGAACCAACATGGAGAAATCAATTTTGTCATAGAGACGTGTGATCAATACCTACACTTACACAAGTCTTATATTTATATGGAATGTGAACTATTGAAACCAGATGACACTGTGTTGGCTGAAACAGATGAAGTATCCTTGACTAATAATGCACCAATGTTTTTGTTTGATAGATCAACTTATAGCATGGATGGAATGCAAGTTGAAAGTATAATGGATCCTGGTAGAGCTAGTCTGATGAAAGGACTTTTAACATATAGCAGCACTATGAACAAGCAAAATACCTTTGGATGGATTCTAGAAACTAAAGATATTATTACATACAAGATAAACAAATATACAAAAAATAGAAAAGGAAGTATTACTTTCTGTATCCCACTAACTCACATATTTGGCTTTGCTGAATGTTATAATAAAATTGTCTATGGTAGAAAGCATCAACTCACTCTCTACAGATCTCCTGAGAACAAAAATAGTATTACATCTAATGATGCTAAAAAACATACAGCTAAGATAAATATTAAAAAATTACAATGGATTATTCCAAAGATTGTTCCTAGTCTTGAAATGCAAAATAAACTGTTGAACATTTTTGAGAGTAGTAAACTTGTGCAGATGCCTTTTATTTCTAGACAGTTGGAAAGTTACAATATTCCTAATGGAAATAGAGAATTCACATGGAAATTGGGAACGAAATATGATAAAATAAAGTATATTGTGGTTGCTTTGCAGAGCAATAGAGATAACAATTACCTGAATGCAGGTAAGTTTGATAACTGTGGATTGGAAGAAATTTATGTCGAGTTAAATTCAGAGCGGTATCCTCATGATTGTTTAAAGTTTGATTTCGACAAATTCAACGCTGTTCAACAATACAATTTTGCTAAACAGTTTAGAAACAGTTACTATGAATCAACAAAAGATTACATTTTCATGGAAGAAGATGTATACTATTACTATTACCCATTGTTGGTGTTCGATGTATCTAAACAAAATGATAGAATTATCCAATCAAGACCTGACGTTACAATAAAAGCTTCCTTTTCAAAGAGTATTGTACAAAACACAAAATGTTATTGTTTGATTATGAGTGAAAATATTGTTGAAATTAAAGATAATCGCGTTAAAGTTGTTAGTGTTTAGTTATCTTGAATCCATGAATTGAATTTCTCAGGATATCCATACCATTTTACAAACATTTCTTTTACTCCTTTCCTAGTTCTACGTTTCAGTATCTTTTCTATTTTGTATTCTTCTTTGACATTATTAAACAGAGTAAGTTCTTCTTCATAAAACTTTCCTTTGATCTCTTCATCTGCTAAATCTTTAATGGAGTATGTTGTGACTTCCCCTGGATGAACTTGAGTGATTTTGAATATTTCTGTACTCCAATTAGGTAGATAACCTTTATCAAAAATAGCTTTGTACTTTGTAATTCTTACTGTATCATCTATTTTGAACTTGAACTTTTCAAACATTTCTTTCGAGGAGGGGAACAGGTTCTCATGTACTTGATCTTCATTTTCTTTTTTGGATGCTTCAATGGGAGTCATTTTTATGCTACGGTGATAATGATTATTGTATCCTTGAACTAATTTATCTAAAATATCAGTCCACTTATGATTACCTTGATGAGTGAACATTTTCCACATCTTTTCTTTGAGAGTTCTATTGAATCTTTCTATGATTGAAGCTTTCATGTCGGAGTATGTTGAAAAATGTTTGATATCAAAACTTTTGAATAGAGCTTTCATTTCGTGATTATAATATTGTTTTCCATTATCGGTTTGCATTTTTTGAGGTTTCCTGGATTTGAAAATGGATTGTAAAGCACTTGCAGTTTCCTTTCCAGTTTTTGTTTTGAGTGGAACTACCCAAGCATTTTTACTAAAAGAGTCAATTACAGTTAAAAGATATTTGAAGTTATTGTTTTCTTCTGCATATGGAATCATTTCAACAAGATCGGATTGCCATTGCTCATCTATATGGTGAATATAAACTCTTTGCGTTTTGAAGTTTTTACGAGCAGGTTTATGAAGAGTGTAGACATCTTGTTCGTTGAGAAATTGTTTTACTTCTTTGATCGGTCTTTTGGTTTTTCTTTGAAGTTCATTAATTCCACAGAACCCAGTTTCAGGATTATAAAAAGTTTGTTCGAGAATGATGATAGGTTTTTTTGACGTTTTCATAGGTTTGATGTCACCACCAGTTTTCAAAGTTGAAGCTATTTTACATTTGGTTGCTTTACATACTTGACAGTTTCCTTTGAATATTTGTCTATTATTTTTGGTTAATGTCTTTGTGACACTGTTAGAACCTGTGCGCTTTTGACACTTTAAACAGTACATATCCATTTATTAGGAACATAAAACAGGAATGTGTAGATAAGAGTTTGACATTTATGTTCTTTTTCCATTTTTTCTCATTTTGAAATTTTTTCCCTACTCTTTGTAGTTGTTTCTTAAAGTTTGTATTTTCAAAATGGAAGTGGATCCACCAAATACCGCACTATCTCCGACCACTGTGGTACGTCCAAGTCATATTCCGATACTGATAAATAACGCTATTGAAGATAAGGAAAAAATCACAGTCGCAGATGGACAAGAATATCTTAAGAGACAAAGGGAAGATGACTGGATAGAAAATCGTGTAGCAAGGGTAAGTTTTATGTGTACTAATTTCTACATTGTTTGATTTTAGATTGAAGCTCAAAACGGGAAACTAGATAAACTTCGAAGCGATGTGAAGGTGGAGGAGGCGAAACTTGAAAATCTTGAAAGAGAGTATAAGTCGGAGGTAGCTCGAATCAAAAAAAGACGGGAATTGTATGACAAAAAAGCTTCGGTAATAATCTGTTGATTTTCATATTTAAGTTTGATGTTTCTTTTACAGAGCCGCGTCGAAAGAAGACAAGCTGGAAAAATAATCAAGAAACATAAACGCGAGCTAGAAAAGAAGCAGGAGAAGCTCCGCGATGAAATGGAAGAATTACA